GAAACAGGGAGAAGACAGCTTTACACCAGCCATATAATTTCTGATAGTTCCAAAGAAGAAAACCAAATCCAAAGAAAAAAACCAAGGCCAAATGAAACAATAAAGAAGAAGACCAAGGCCAGAGACAGATGGTAGGCACTTCTCCTTTTCCATCCCAGAGAGCCATAAAAATATGATCAGACAAACCAATAACTGAAAGCTAAGTCTTATCCATATAAGATTATTTTCCTTAGATTTTGAATTTGTCTTGAGTCTTGCATCATGAGTAGCTTAATATGTGGAGGGAGATTTCCCATAGAATCATAAGTGGAAGATTGTTTATCTGTTATTCCTTTGTTCGCCAAAGCATCTGCCACCATGTTACCCTCACGATAGATATGCTGGATTTGAAATGTGAAATTATGAAGGGTAGAGATGATTTTTTCTAATAGGAACCAGCACTTCCAGGACACTTTAACCCTCTTATTGACCATGTCAACTAATAATTTCAAGTCTGTCTCAATTATCAAATCATATACTTGTAGCCTATAATCTTGCATTAGTTGCAGCCCACTCAATAGAGCTTGCATCTTTGCCTCCATATTTGTGCAACTACCATAATAAAAAGAACCTACCAGAGTCAATTGACCAATAGAATTATGAAGTATTGCCCCTCCTCTTGACTCCCCAGGATTGTCTTTCGAAGCACCATCCACATTAAGCTTAATCAAACCATTAGCTAGGAATTTCCAAGCTATCCACCACGTGCATATCCTCAGTGTCCCAGAGTTAGAGACCTACAAGGATTGCAGTAACTTTATCTTGTTGGCTGAGTCAATTGCTTTGGGCTTAATAATATGCACTTGTAACTTTAGAAAATGGAGCACATTCTTGAATAAAGTAGTATAAAGAAGACATTGACCTTCAAAAAGCCTATTGCATCTTTCTCTCCATAATTGCCAATATATCAATAAAGCTACCTCTCTTAGGAAAGCATGACTCATAGACAAATGCTTGAATTCTCTTACAAATCTCATAAATCTAGTAAGAGGATCCTCATTTGCAATTAATCGAAGCCCCAATATAGCTGAAATAGACCCCCAAACTGAACTGGCATAAGCACAGTTAATAAATATGTGGCCTACAATCTGACAATCCTTCTTGCAAAAAACACATCTGCTAGCTAGAGAAACACCTCGAAGCTGAAAAGTTGAATTCATAGGCAATGCATTTTGTAATATCCTCCAACCTACTAACCCTGTTCTTGGTGGGACCTTCTGCTTCTACATGGTTGTAGCTTGAACACTAATTTATCCCTTTGTTCTTAGAACATTCCAAGTAGACTTTATAGTAGAATAACCCAAGGAATCATGCTTCCAAATAAGTCTATCCATGTCTACCCCCTGAGGCAGTTGAATAGATAGTACCTCTTGCAATAAATGTGGATCTAAAATTTTTTGAATATCTCCAAGTTCCCAGTGACCATCCACACACACTTGGGATAGTTTAGGGAACACTAGTGGTTTCATTGAGTTTCAAAGCACCGGAAGGCCATTCCCAGACCAATTTTCACACCAGAAATCAACATAAGCTCCAAAACCAACTAAGATTAGAGTATTCTCAGTAACAGTATTGAACCAGGGAGCTATTTCCTTATAACTTTGAGAATACTTCCTTGCAGAGGACCCAAGTGAATGTTGACCTTTGAGAAATTTACTTGAAAAAACTTTGGACCACAGAGAGTTACCATTTAATAGAAGAGGAATTTTGTAAGGAGAATCTCAAACAAGGATTAGAGTTGCTTACTTTTGTTGACCTTCGTTCTTCCCTTAATAGGATGATTAATTATGCTATTGGAGGATTTTTATCCCTTATTTAAATTGAGGCAACTATAGTGACGTAGTAGAAGTGGACTCCTTGCATGAGTGAAAGGCTCAAGTCAATTGAATTATTCAAAATTGTGAAGGGATAGGATTATGCTAAGTTGCTGAGCTCCATTATGCCTAGCACGTGCTCAAAATTCTATCGTCTACAACTATTATGAAATTTGGAGAATAGGGTCATGTTAGATATATGTTTGTAATTGGCTATTTTAGTGTAGTCCATTATAAATCTCAACTTATTTCATGGTCATGATGCTATAAAGATTAAAAATCTGAAAGTGTCATTAAAAGGAAGAGATCAAGTGTCAAAGCTATATCATTCATACTCTAGTTGTACCTTCAAGCTTAGGTCAAAGGTAATGACCTAGATACATAAGATGATCTCTTGGTTTAATAGACTTATGAGAATTAGAGTTAAAATGGGAGATTAATCCATGTATGGCTCCTAGGTATTTTAAATGAAAAGATTTTTTAAACCGTTTTTGTATTTTAAAAATATAGTTTGAACCATTAATAGACCCCTCTTGTGCAACACCCTTTATTGCTCAAGAGGACAAGTATTTTGCTTTGTTTTAGGATTGAGAAATCAGTAGGGACCACCCTATGCTCTATAACCTTTGTAGAGCGATCTTTTTATGACTTAAGAAAGAAAGGGGGAAAAGATAACGGAGGAGAATATGGCTCGCTCAAGTGGTCCCATGGTTGCTCTAGCAGTTTACTATCCTTGACAGGTTTGAAATGCAATTTTCATCCCTGTGACCATTGCCCTATAACCGCCCTCTCACCAATCGGGCAATCATTCACGAATTTGAGTTTTCTTGTTGACCAAGATTACCCTTATTCCAAACCTATAAATGGAGAATCTTTTCTTCACCTAATGTAAGCCTTCTGTAAGCTTTTTAAGAATAGAAACTCATCTTCCACCTAGAGAGCTTCCACCACAACCTAAATCCCTAATACCCAAGAATACCTTCTAAAGAGTCTACCCAACCTCACAACTTGGAGTGAAGATCTTGAATGTTGTAAACCAAACCCATTGGTGTGTACATGCAGGGGATCGTTTCGTGCTTATTATTGCTCGAGAATTTGAATATCCTTTACGGAGGTGAATCCAAGTGAAGGTACACATAACATCGGAGAGGCACTTCAATGAAGAGATATATTGAAGGAAGAGAACATGTAACCATTGTATTGGTTAAGGTGTAAGACTCGAGTCCTTGTATGTTGACTTGTGGGTAGTGGATTAGATTTTGGTGAACTAATAGAGGTTCCCTGTTGTTTTTTTTTAGGAAAGTTTTCTAGGTCAACAAATCAATTGTGTTTTTTTATTACTTATGCTTATACATATATGATTGTTTGCACAAATGTATGCTATGTATTTGATTAATTGAATTTTCAACATATAAATCATCAATAGTTGTAATTGGGTTTTAACTTCTGGGTTTGTTGTGAGATTGAGGGTTTGAGCGAATTAATTGAGTATTAATCAATATTAATCTTTGCGGGTGTTAAGGATCGTGCTGATTAAAAGTTGTTCTCACTAATTAATTGACCAATCATTTGAGAACAGATAATTATGGTATATTTGATTTTAATTGTAATCAATTGTGCTTTAAATTAAAAAATCTATTCACCCCCTCTAGGTAGAATTGTGCACTATATATATATAATCATAAGGGAAGATCCACATTATTTCTCCCCCCCCCCCCCCTCCCCCAAAAAAAAGAAAAAAATTTTTTNCTCCCCCATTAGAATTAATTTGGAATCTGTTAATAATAAAATTAGGGTAAGAGCCCCTTTTGTTTCCCCCCCCCCCCCCTTCCCGAAACAACAGGTAATAATTTGATGTAAGGTGGCTAAAGTTATACTATTCTTGAAAATGGAGACGTAAACATGTCATTCATATGAATGTAAAGTGTTTTTTGGTACATGCCATGAATCAGAAAAAGATACCATATCAAGTCATGAGTAAAGAAACTTTGGTCAACAAGTTATGCACTTTGCTTGCCAAGTTGAAGAGCTTGTTAGGACTCAAGTCTCGCGGGGACTTTAGTTGACAAGTGTGATTGTGTCTGCCTAGAACAGGGACTGATTGTGTCTGCCTAGAGCAGATAGACCACCGAGTATCGCAGGAAAGTATGCAATCAACCTGTACAAGGTGGGAACAATCTGGGGGGTGGTGAGTAACCGGTATTCTAAAAAAAATGTCTTTTCCTTGGCCCTTCCTTTGTATGGAGGAAATAAGGGCAGGTTGGCAACAATATGGGGATCCCAAGGGCTTGTCTTCCTTGGATACGTAGGCGGTAGTGGTGGCAGTACTCATGTTTTGCTTCGAAGTAAGTATTGTGGATGTCAGAGCAGGCAAAGTGGATGACCAGAGAACCAAACTCCAAGTAAAGGGTGTTGGGCAGCATGAGCATTCAGGCGAGTGGCAAGGATTCTCTAGGATAAGGGATTGAAGGCACTAGCACTGGATGGGAGGCTTGGAATATGCAGTGAAGAAACATTTGTATCTCTGTGGAGGGGCTGGCAGGGAGGAATAACTTAAATCCCTCCTTGGGGCATGAAAAGAACACTCAGTGGAGAGACTAGGACTGAAGAAACATCTGAAGCTTTTTCCATGGGTACAAGAGGGGAGCTCAATGAAGGGATGGAAATAAAAATGGGCAATAACACAAATGGAAGTCTCACGGAACCCCCTCAAAAAAGCAAAACCATGGGAGGAGTCTAGGGAGGCATCGAAGGAGGCAATGTACTTAGAGTTGACGCCATCAAAAAAGTTACCAGAAAAAATGCTCTATGAGATTGCAACTTCATCAGGAGTAAACAACAGAAGAGAAAAATCCACTTTAGGAAATTCTAGACCTAGAAGGGAAAGACTTACCTAACTACGGCTCATGAGGTCACCCTCAAGACAGATTGGGTCAAACAGATCCTCAGGGATAGTCTCATCTAAGGCATCCCCTCCCTCGGGAGAGGGAACATGCTCCAAACTCTCCTCCTTAGTAGGGTCAGCACCAATGGGTCGCTCTACTAAGCCAACACCCTTGGTAGGAACATGCTCAACGGCTACTACGGGAACTTCTATGGTCACTCTAGAAGTTAATGCCACAATTGGAGGGACGACAAGCACCACCTCTACAGGTGAAACAACATAACCAATCNCTCAACGGCTACTACGGGAACTTCTATGGTCACTCTAGAAGTTAATGCCACAATTGGGGGGACGACAAGCACCACCTCTACAGGTGAAACAACATAACCAATTGTTACCTCAGACTTACCCCCATCACCAACATCTTTGGTCAAAGAAGGTTGGTTCAAGTCAAGCTCAGGATCCTTCATAGAGGGAGGTTCAATCACAGTTGGTAGCACTGGAAGCATAGGATTTTTCAAAAAAAGGTGGGGCAAGGCTCGCATATGCGAGACCCGCGAGAATGGTCTAGAAAACTACAAAAAATATATAAGCCAACTGTAGGGAGGAGGAAAAGTAAAGGCTAAGAGAATAATAAAAACCATACCTCAACACTCGCGAGAACAGTTGAGTGACCTTCTTGACCCAGAGACTCACCACCATGGGAGGAATAAACTAGCATCAGTGGAACCAAGGGCATTAATAATTGGAGATGTGACGACTCATATATATATATATTAATCATTAACACATTAATTAGGTCATCAATTATGATATAATTGAGGTTTATTTTTTTAAATATATATATATATATAAATAACTAATAAATTTTTTTTATGAACAAGTGGAACTCAAATATAGACTCTTCGCGTGAAAACGAGTCAAATGACTATAAATTTAGGTCAAGTTTTGTAATAATATAATGAATACATATATATAAAAGAGGACATAAAAAACGTGCAAGAAGAAAGAAAAAAAAAGAGAATAATGGCAAGAAATGGACAGTTGTCCATGTGAGGCATCCAAAATGGCATCAGCCATGACATTGGAAGCCAATGCTTTGGCTATAAATAGGCTGCCTGTGGCCCTTCAAATAGCGCACCAATGAGAAGAAACGAAGGGAAAGAGATAAAGAGATGAAGAGAGAGAAATTTATGAGATTTTGGGATTAAAAATTGAGCAGTGATTTTTTCTTAAAATTGAAAGTATTTGATTCTTGGTATTGCAAATTTAATATCTATCGAAGTTATTGATGGATTTGAAATACGGGGTAGTATACAATATGTTTTTTTATTTTAAATCTCTTTATAAAGAGTATTATTTGATTATCTGAAATTTGTATTCCTATTGATTATTCTGATTAATATGAAATTCTGTCAATTTTATCGATTGACCTGTACATTAAGCTAAATACGTTGGGATTAATTGGTACATGTACGAAGTGTATTTGAGACATAATTGATAAAATGTAATTATGGCCCCTACGGAGTGTGATTGTGATTATAGCCCTGCGAGGTGTAATAGTTTGATATGAATATGAAATTTAAATGCTTAAGTATCACTTGTCATGTCACCAAGAGGAACTGAGTATGAGGCTATATTTGATAGCAGTTGAGCTATGTGACTTGTCGAATATGATTCTTGATTATCATCTGAATTATTTGGTATTTGATCATTCATATGTTACTCATTGAGCATATTGTTTCCTATCATATTGTATACTTCTCCGCTTTAATTATTTTTTCAGGATAATCTCAGACAGAATAACCAAAGTTGATATTTGAGGAATCGTAGGTAGACGAGTCTTGATATAATTTTTAACTTTGTGGGTTTATTGTGGTGATATATAATTTCTGAGAGAAGGACCACAGTTGAAATATGATAAAGTTTTAGATTTATAACTTTGTGGGTTTATTGGGATGATATATAATTTGAACAAATTGGTTTTTATATATATAATTTGAACATATTTGTTTTTATATTGAGGAGATTATATTTATTGTTATTTGGAGATCAAAATTATGATTATAAGTTTATTAAGGCAATTAGAGCTCTGACCCTATATTCGGAGATTTATTTGTGATTTATTGTGATCGATCGATTTAATCAAGTGACGGGTCCAAAAAACCAAGACGTTACAAAGTGGTATAAGAGCTTAGGTATAAGATCTTAAATGGATTTTGTGGGAAATGAGACTATTAGCTTTCGCTGTAGGTATAGAAGTTTGAAGTGAGCTTAGATATCAGATCTTATATGGGTCTTGTGGAAAGTGAGACTATCAGTTTTTACTGTAGGTATGGGAGTTTGAAGTGTGCGGAGTAAGTCAATCAATTCCCATTAGAGGGATTTATAAGTTGGAATTCATATCAAAATTTTGGGTTATATGGTAAAGAGTTGAAAAATGTATCAGAGTGCGGAACGGATATTTGTAGTCATACTTATTTTACTCTTGAGGTCAATATCAAATTTCGGGGACGAAATTATTTTTAAGGGGGGTAGATTGTGACGACCCATATATATATATATATAAATCATTAACATGTTAATTAGGTCATCAATTATAATATAATTAGGGTTTATTTTTTTAAATATATATATAAATAAATAAATAATAATTTTTTTTTTGAACAAATAGACCTCAAATATAGACTCTTCACATGAAAACAAGTCAAATGACTATAAATTTAGGTCAAGTTTCATAATAATATAATGAATACATGTGTGTATATATATATATAAAGTGTTAAGAGGACATGAAAAATGTGCAAGAGAAAAGAAAAAAAAAAGAGAAGAATGGCAAGAAATGGATAGTTGTTCATGTGAGGCAAGCAAAATGGCATCAACCATGACATTGGAAGCCAAGGCCTTGGCTATAAATAGCCTGCCTTTGGCCCTTCAAACAGCGCACCAAAGAGAAAAAAGGAAGGGAGAAAGAGAGAGGGAGAAAGGAAAGGAGACAGATGAAGAGAGAAATTTATAAGATTTTGTGGTTAAAAATTGAGCAATGATTTTTCTTTAAAATTTAAGTATTTGATTCTTGGTGTTGCAAATTTAATATCTATCGGAGTTAATGATGGATTTGAGATACGAGATAGTATTCAATATACTCATTTATTTTAAATCTCTTTGTAAAGAGTATTCTTTGATTATCTGAAATTTGTATTCCTATTGATTATTCTGATTTATATGAAATTCTCTCAATTTAATCGGTTGACCTGTACATTGGGCTAAATACTTTGGGATTAATTGGTACATGTATGAAGCGTACTTTGAGCATAATTGGTAAAATGTGATTATGGCCCCTGCGGGGTGCGATTGTAATTACAGCCCTGCGGGGTGTAATAGTTCGATATGAGTATGAAAATTAAATATCCAAGAGTCACTTGTCATGTCACCAAAAGAGGAACCGGGTATGAGACTATGTTTGATAGCACTTGAGCTATGTGACTTGTCGAATGTGATTATTGATTATCATTTGAATTATTTGGTATTTGATCATTCATATGTTACTCATTGAGCATATTGTTTCCTGTCATATTATATACTTCCCCACTTTAATAATTTTTTCAGGATAATCTCAGAAGGAATGACCAAAGTTGATATTTGAGGAATCAAAGGTGGACTAGTCTTGATATAATTTTAACTTTATGGATTTATTGTGGTGATATATAATTCCTGAGAAAAGGACCAAAGTTGAAATATGAGAAAGTTTCATATTTATAACTTGGTGGGTTTATTGGGGTGATATATAATTTGAACAAATTTATTTTTATATTGAGGAGATTATTTTTATTGTTATTTGGAGATCAAAATTGTGATTATAAATTTATTGAGGCAATTAGAGCTCTGGCCATGTATTCAGAGATTTATTTATGATTTATTGTGATCGATCGATTTAATCAAGTAACGGGTCTAGGAAACTAGGGCGTTACAGGAGAAGTGGCCTCGTCACCTCAATCAACTGGCTTAGAGGCTCTGGTTCTTGAATGAATAGAAGTTGTTTTCTCCAAGTCAACAATAAGGGAAGTAGATACAAAAGCCTGGCAAATAGGAATGATAGCACTAAAGTGACACTTGTTATTACCATCAGAGCTATAAATGACATGAAACTCTTTAACACAAGGCACTATGATATCAACAGATATTATGGGCAGTGTGCCCACCACGGCCCCCATAGCCATGGCACTCACGACAAGGGGGTAAGATGGTAGCGGTAGCCTTAATAGGCCGAGCAGTATCTCATCAACCCCCACAAAAATTACTGGAGGGAGAATTCTCTATTGTACGAAGACCCTGAAAAATAAAGATAAGGGGAGACAAATGACCATAATAGAGATGAAAATCAACTTGTTCAAAGTACCTGGAGAATTTTTGCCTGCCCACTTACATTTTTTAGAATAAAAATGAGGATCAAAAGTAGGAATAAATGTTTTCATAGAAATAGGCAATGTTATCAGAACTAGACCGGCCATCGAACCGACAGAGGGATCAAGTCAATAGTTCACTGGTTCAACTGTTGGGTCAACTTGTCGAACCGACTATATAATAAAAAATATAAAAATATTACAAATATTAAAAAACAAAATATTTCAACTACATGTCTAAAATTCATACAATTTACAATAAATAAATGAAGTCAAGTAGTATACTTTTTGAAAAAAAAATGAAGTTAAGTGGACAAAACTAGAAACCCATGTTTCAAATATCAAATTCATATGAAAGATAAAGATTACAAAGGATAAGGACAAACTTTGAAGTTTTAACAATCTTTTTTTTCTTTTTTTTTCTTTTTTTTTTTTGATCAGACATTTGAACAATCATATAACACAAATTTGAACAATTGTAGAAATTAACACCACCACCATAACCAAGGAGAGCAGAAGAGATTGAGTGAGAGAGATGACTCAGATTGATTGAGTGAGACAAATTGAGTGGAGAGGGTCCAGATCTAGAAGGAATCAAGAGTGAGTAGAGAGCTATTATGTTTGCCTGGAGCTATTTGTCGCCTGGAGGAGTAAGGACGAAGTTGGAATAGAATTAATTTAGGGCAAAATGGCCAAAAAAGAGGGATATTTTTTTTTATATAACAAGTGGAATTCGAACCATCCAATTTTAAAAAATCGACCGGTTCATGGTTTTGGCCAAAAACTGGCCGATCTAGCAATTTTGAGTCAGTTCTATTCCTTAAGTGGTCTAACTAGAGACCTAGACCGGTTAAGGTCTCGGGTCACTGTTGAACCGGTCTGACCAGCCGGTCTGATCCAGTTCTGATAACATTGAAACAGGCTTAAACTAGGGGGTCTCAGGCATGGGATGTTTTGCGACAACAAGCTTCATTGAAAGGCAGTTAACTATGGATACAACAATTTTTTGTGAATGGTTCTTAAGAGTTGGATCCCAATCTCTACTAGATGATTCAGCAACACTAGTTCCCCTTGAGGTCAACTTCTTGGATTTCTTGGAAACAAGCTCCTCAACTTCCATAAGAGGGTCATGCCTCCTTGAGGGATGCTCACCTACGAGACTCCTCGTAAGAAGCAGATGTTCTTTTGGGTCGAATTTTCCTAGGCCTCGTGAGAGACCACATAAAATAAATAATTATGGATAATATTATGTTAAGAATTCTTCAAAAATAACTAAAAATGGTGATAGAAATTTCATATCAGTGTTGACATAAGGCTA